GCGAGTCATTGCAATCGATTTTGCAGCTTATCGGATAATTGGAAGTTTTACAATTATTTCTGATAATTACAATCTAAAATATTATTATTAAGTATTCCAATTATCTATAAAAATCTCGATTTGATATTTTAGCGTATTCGAAAAATTTCAGTGTTTCCAAAATTCTCAAATTGAAATATTCAGTGTTGGGCATTTATATGCATTTACATACAGAATTACCTTCCCAAATTACCTTCCAGCAAGTAATCTGAATAAATAAATGATAAAGAGAGCAACCATTCTTTACTTGAATTATGTAAAAAGTGACAATTTACATTCTGCCTGCGTGTTTATAGATACCCAACTCTGAGATTAAATAGCTAAATTATAAATAGCTAAATATTAATAGCTATGTATATGTGTGTGTGTGTATATATATATATATATATATATATATATATATATATAACTAAATTAATAAATTTTTAATAAATTTTTCTATCGAAGATGCAAACGATAATAATTATAAAATCCAAAGCATGCTCTTACCAGAGTAGCGTAATTTACTAGAAATAGTCGCTTATCTTGGGAAAAAAGTTTATATCGTGTTGACGGATTGAATTTATTTTAAAACAATTAATTAGCGAATATGCAGTAAATTCGAATGCACTCATTAAACTATCATTAATCATGAATTGTTCAGCCTAATGCATTCATAATAATGCTTCTCATTCATCACAATTAATGCAGTACTTTTCTTTGCTTGGCAGAACTACTAATATTGTATGTATTTGTGTGTCTTACATTCAATACTGATTATGTACAATCAAAAAACGTCGGAAATATGCAGTTAAAGTGTATGCAGTTAAAGTGTATGCATATCTTAACTGTAAGATGCATATCTTAACATATTTTTGGAAAGCTTTAAATTGCTCTTAGAATTTATATAATGATTCGTCAATTGCATTAATGTAGATTTCTTTATGTAGGAAAATTGATGATGTAATAAATTGTTCATTATTTAAGTACACTGACGCCTAATATTGCGAATTAATTTTTCTTACTGACATAATATGGTAATATGTCTCATTGACCAAAGCAATAACTGAAGTCGATAAAGAACCAAAATTACGTTTCCACTTCGATTCACTTTGAGAACTGATGTATCTTAACAAATTACGTTCCTGTTTCGAAAACGGCTACATCTAGTACTTCCGCTACGCTGGTAATTCATCTTTAAGTAATCCCTTTGTCGTTATGGATAACCCAGTATTAATGGTGCTTGCATTTTTGTCAAAAGTAAATTGTGTCAACATGATAAACGATCCAGGTTTCTCCAACGACATTTCATCTGCATTTGCAATCGAAATATTTTTTTATTATAACTTTGTCCTTGTCCCTTTCTTCGTCTCTTAATAATGGCTCTCAACTTTACTCTCTTTTGATGATAAAACAAAAAATTGTACAACGAATCGTTACAGTTATTTTTTAGGCATATTCTTTAAAATACTAAACATTTCATTTTTATCAGAAATAAGATGTTATATCTGACATTTCTTGTTTAAATATTACAATAAGATTATATCGGAACATGAAATTAATTTCTTGTAATATAATATCTAATACCAATAAATAATATGATGAGTAATATCTAACGACTATTAGGAAGCATCTTTATAATAATTATGGTGTGATAAGTTCTAATCACATTGCTAATCGAGATCACATCATAGACTCAACAAAATGATAATACCGCGTTCCTAAAAGAATAATTATCTGAATAAGCAATTATCAAATTAACAAGGATCCACAGTTAAGGCTTAATTTTTTTTCTAAAATCAAACGAGAACCACACTAATGTTTTATCCGATGCTTCGACCACGCAGACGCATACACACTCTCTCTCACACACACACACACACACACACACACACACACACACACACACACGCACAAAACGTAACACGCTCTCCGACTCGAGGAGATTCGCCCCGAAGAAGCCATGCGGATTATCGCCCTATCTAAAATTAGATCTGCACTGTGTGAAAAGTCTACATATATGTATATAATATACGTCTACGTATATATTATTTATCATATTATCACTGAATCGTGTCGCTGTCGCTATCCGCTTGTCGGTTAAGATCAGCTATCGTCTGGTGTGTCCTGATATTCCTCGCTTTCCCTGTGCACTAGTACGTGCACCACCGTTGCCTCCGACTGCTGTCTGATCAGCGGTGGCCTCGAGGGTGGCGCCGTGTTTTCCGGACTGGGTTCCGTCACCAGGATACTCACGTCACTACTCTCGACTGGTAGTTGCACTGGCTCCGGCGGTGGTGTCCGTCGTCTCAGACTGCCACATCGTCGGTTAAACGCTTCCTTGATATCCCGTTGCAGCGTATTCAACGAAAGGGTAGTACCGCTCGGCCGCAGGGAGCTGCGCTTCGAAGTTGGTGGACTGAGTACGTCGTCCTCCGGATACTTCTCCACTGCATCCTGCCGGCCCAGCGTGGGACCCAACGATCTACAGATAGAGAACAAGCAATTGTTAATGTTCTCACTTCTTACAGATATTCTTACAGATACTACAGATACATAATAATATTGTTTTTCGACATACACGACACTTGCAAGATGTACTTGAGTTATTTATTTTCTACGAACTCAATTTGTCTTGAACAAGATTTTTACGAGATATACGAAGAATATCATGAGACGAATTATAAAGATATAGTTGAATGTATTTTGCAAAGAAAATTTTTGCGTGTGTGTTTACAGAAAGCAATATACGATAAATAAAACAATAATAATACTCTTGAGACTTCCATGGACATTTTCTATACAGAAATTATACGGATTATCTCCATGTTCAAATTCACTCTTAAAATATCAATGTTTCGTGAACATTGCAGTTCGTTTCATCAGGAACCACCGATAACTGAGTTGCTCTTCTGGGGAATTCCCTTTATATACGCTAGCAGTGACTTAAAACTTTTATCATGACTTCGATTTTATATCATGATCAAGATCATCAGCGCGCTATTCGTCAATCCGAATAATTATCTTGTGCGGAATTAAACCAACCTGACAGTAATATGAGAATCCGAGCCAGAGCTGGAGGCTGCGGAGGGTTGATCAGCGGTTGGTGAGGGACGGGACACGGTCAGTGCCGGGGGTGGCAGGTCCTCGTGGGTTCCGGTGGCGCCGGAGAGCAACAGCAGAGGAAGATTCGGGAACAACCACGCCGAAGCGGTGCCGAGTTCGCTGAGGTCGCTGGCGTCGCTGGCCCTGGAGGACTTGCGGCTACTGGCCCGGCTACCCCGGTGCACATGTAGTAGAGCCGACAGTTTACCGCCCCATCCACTTCCGCTCCTACCATCCACACCACCTGGGCTCGAGGTCTGCGTCTGCGAGTCTACCTCCTGAGCAATTCTTTCACGCTCCTTCTTCATCCTGTATATACATCGAGATTATTTAGTTGCTGTATTTATTATTTCTTATGTACGCCAATTACAGGGTGTCTCAGAATAACCACCAAACATTTCGTGCGTAGATAGAATGGACTAAATTGAGTCGAAAAGTCCTCTACCATTTTGTAATTCAATTAAAGTTAGTCATACTCACGCAATGTACTCTCTTATGGAACGTTGAATCAACCTGGCAGCTTTGTCTTGTCGCTTCCAGATTCTCGTGGAAGACACTATCTCCAATTCTTTTCTAGTTGGAAACTGCTTTTTGAACTTAACATCCATCTGTTCTTGCAGCTTCCTGAAGTCATCTGATTCCTCGACGTGCCCAAGAACGTGCTTGACGAGCGCGTGCAAGATGTCCAGACAATGAATCTTGTTACCCTTTGCGATGGGAAGATTAAAGCTAACCAACGCTACCACGTTGGGCTTTGATATTCCCAGCGGCGGGTCCAGGCTTGCTATAAAGTCGCTCAACTGCGAGAAGCTAATAAATTGCGTTGCATGTGGATCGTACCTAGAAAAACAAAAATTTCAATTTAATATGACGATGAGATTGCTATCACATTATTATTTTAATTATCTATTAGAAGATATATAGAGACCGCAATTATCTCACTAATTAAACCAATATTTCTAAAAACACATGGCTAAATAATTTTGAAAGAAAATAGTATCTTACTTCGACCATCGGATGTAGAACATCTCTAAGTCATCTTCGACGATACCAATCTCTTCCTCTTGATGAGCTTGATTGAAATTCTCTAAGATGATGGCGATGTACATGTTGATGACTATCATGTAACTAATGATGATAAACGATGTGAAATACGTGATTGCTAGTAAGGGATATCCGCAATCTCCGTTCATCTGTCGACTGTTCGGTGTAGGATCGCATTCAGGTGGTTGCACCATCAACGACTCCAATACATCATTCCAGCCAGCCGAAGTCATTAAACGGAACAGTAGCTGCATACTTCTACCAAACGTTTCGAAGTTCACCTGCAAAGGAAGATACTAGCTTTAATAACAATAATTAAACACTAATTATTAATAACACTAATTGAAAATTAAAAGATGTAAAAGGACGTATGTAACATTCAATTTTGAACTGATCGTAGACAATCTACAGTTTTAAGTCTGTAAAAAACAGGCGTTTATAATATAACTGTACACATATAATATAACTAACCATATCGTCCAATGCGCCTTGTTTCCTGACGTGCCCGAAAACAGACATGCCGATGATGGCGTAGATAAATGTGATCAGGGCCAACAGGGCCCCAATATTGAAGAGTGCTGGAAGACTGACGACAAGAGCGAAGAGCAGCTTGCGGATACCTTTCGCAGCTTTAATGAGCCTCGGGAAATCCATCATAATATCTTCCATTAGAATACCCAGGATAGACGCCAATACAAGTAAGAAGTCAAACAGATTCCACGGCACCGTGAAATAATGATAACGCAGACCTATTATTTTGACGATCGCCTCCAGGCCGAAAACGGTCGTGAAAAATGCGTTCGACACTTCGAGGACAAAAAAGATGGGATGTGGCTGATTGTAATGCTCGATCCCCATCGTCAGCATGTTGAGAAATATCAAAACGAAGATAGCTATTTCAAATCTGAAAAATCATACGAGAGATCAGAGTCCCTATTCTTGAGAAATTAGGGAAATATACGTAACTATAGTATATGTAACATAGTATATGTAACATAGCTGTAGTATTTCTCTAGTTTTTCATATATTAGTTTCTTTTTCAGAATAGAGATCGTATTCTCTTTTGTAATTCGCAAATCACTCAAATTAATCGTCATTCTTCTTGTCAAAGCGGTGCATGCAAATTTAACATTCGTGCGGTAAAAATGACGTAAATAATATCTGCTGGTAGTACATGGGACAAATATAACATTTAACTTTACCGTTCATTCGCTTTCTTTAAATAGTTGAAATAAAACAATCTCTTTCACAAAAATGAGGAAATTATACAACGATATAAATAATTTTAAGTGTATCTTAATTGTGATAAAAATATGTATCTCTGCTATATGCATGTTTAACAGTAAGCTTGAAAAGTATATAAATGAGATTTTTCGTAATTCACACATTGACACCGTCATAATAATTCTATATTCTGCTATTATACAGCTAATTTTACATTTGCATGGATTTTACGAGAAGGAGTATCTAATCCCTGTGTGCAGAATTATGAAGTTACGACGTTTACGTAAGCTCCCTGCTTGCAGCTTATCTCGTTTATTATGTACACTGCACACCGACATTGTGTATCTACAATTTAGAGACGGCGAGCGTTAATGTCCTTTGAGTATCGATTTTCCATTACTCTGAGAAACGGATTGTAGAGTCATAGCATTTATTTTCCGAGGTTTTGCCTTTTCTGGAAGCTGAAAAGAAAATTCACGCACTATATTTCACGGCGATTTGTATGCATATTACAATGCTTGCACGGGTTTGAGAAAAGAAAATATTATCGCACAACAAAAAATGAATGTATACAAATTATCTATTGAATTGACATAAAATTTAGCAACTGAAAATACAGAAAAATAAGAAAAAATTTTAGTTTTCTGCTTTATAATATAATTCAGTAAGTTTAAAAAGTTATATGAGTCATTATTTAAAGATAACATTTTTATATTTTTACATGTTAATATAAAAATAATCTGATTTGTGTAAAAGTAAAGCACAAATTAATATTATGAAAGTTTTATAATTGATAAGAAGATTATGTAAAGAGTCTTTGAGGAAAAAAATAGAACGATTAAATTAAAGATTATTTCAAAAACAGTAAAATATATTTCTTCTTACCTTATTTTTTGCGATCTAAAGTTGTCTTCTTATCGTAGATAAATAGTAAGTTGAAGATAATAGTAGCTTTATAGATCGCTTCCAATGTAGAAGGCTACTGTGATGTTAGACATTACCGTAATTTCAAGCAACTATAGTCCTATACCACAGGTATGATCTAAATATCCGCGCACACGAAAATATGAATATGTTTTTGTGCATGCGGATGTTTGAATTACAGTTGTAGCACAGGACCATAGTTGTGTAAAATTACGGTACGTATATTCTTTCGTCGGTCTTCCTTTATTTGTGCGCTGTTAATTGCTAATAAATGATAATATGAAAGCAATCTGCCAGACCTGTCTATGACCTGATATAATTCTGATCAAATTTCAACAAAATAGATAAATAGGAATTCTGTGAAACACACGTTCAAGCACAGCAACGTGAGTAGTGAGGAGGTGAGCAATCGTAGCTTTGTAATGACTCTGTTAAAGAACAATTTGGATCACAGACATTTATTCTTAAACCATTAACACGCTGCGCGCGAATTACTATAAAGGAATTTAATATACTTGGCAAAATTAATTTCAAGAGTGGAGATACGAGTATCTACTAATTAACATCAAATATTAATTAAAATACCAAAAGCGAGAGCAACTCTCTAAACGTGTTAATAATTTAATTTAAAATGTCTGTGATTACAGAGGAAATATACACCTGCCGCATTGCTCGCGCTGCATTGCGATCGAACGCGTGCAGCACAGTACGACCGCCACGAATTCGCACGTACCATTTACGTCATTTTGACCGCACCATTTCTACGCATTCATTACGTTATATTGCGAATAACACACACATGTTGAGTGAAACTAGATTAAAACTTTGGCATCAAATAATTGTCTCGATCGAGTTAGATTTATGAAAAAAATTTAATATGCAAGATGTTAAACAATATCTTTATGGTAAAAGTTTTTATTTTATGTAATATTTTTAAGAATTTTTCATATTTCAAATTTATGAAAATTTTTCTAAAAACTATAAATTTCTTCAGATTTTTCTTAAAAATTATGAATGAAAAATCTTAAAAATTTCAGAATACTTCAAAATTTATAAAAATTTATTTTTATAGAAAAAATACTAGGAAAGATGTACATTTTTTCCAGCATTTTTGAAAAATATTCCAATTTATATAAAAGACCTGAGAAAGTTTTCGAAAAAATTGTAAAGTTAGAGAATTACAGAAATTCTGAAAAAAAATTATACAGAAATTTCTAAGAAAAATTTGCAATCAACTGTTACATATAGAATTGGAAAGAGTTGTTACATTGCGATAATAAATTTATAAAAATTTTTACTATTGATTACAAAAATTTTTATTGAACAAGATTTTAAAGAACAAAAAAATTAAAATAGAGTTATAATAATTGTAATAATAAATGACTTTAGATGAAGAAAACGATATAATAGTAGTACAGAAATCTATAAAAATTATAAATTTGTTACACAAATGTAATATAAATAAAAAAACTTTATTTAGCTTTATATTTAAGAGAAAATTATTTTTTGAAAATATAATTAAGTTATGGTTTAAATACTGTTTCTTACGGAAAAAATTAACATTTTTAACTGTCACGAAATTACAGTAAAGAATAAAGTTGATTGCCAAAGTATTATTATTGACATCAATTTATACAATCATTGACAAAACAACACAATTCTTTGCTCAAAGTGTCAAAGGGTTTTTTTTGCCAAAGTGTTATATTATGCAATTACCTGCGAGAATTGGACAGGTCGTAGAACATTGCGAGGAATTGGTTCATCGGACGTTTTATAACTTTTTGTGGCTTTTTACGGCCGAGTTTTTTCATGGCAGTGTAGTAGTGTTTTTGACTTTCCGTCAAAAACATTTCTAACACCCCACCTTCATACTGAAAAAAAATATCGTTTTATTCTACAATCATATAAATTTTATGAGAATCCATAAGAAAAAAACTTTGCTATTTATAACAAGAAATAACTTTATATGAACAACTATTAATATTTAATAACAAACTGTGAACAGTTAGTAATTTTTAATATTTAATAACAAATTTTAATGTTTTTAAAGCAACCATTAAAATGAAGTGTTAAATAATTATATCAAAGATATGTTTCTACGAAAATGATAAATAATCTTTGCATAATAACATGAACATTTTGCCAAGTTAACTATTTATGTATTATATAATCGCGAAATAAAATAAAGAAAAATGTAAAGTAAAGAATTTGATATAAAGAGAGCAAAGAAAAATATCTATATCTATTAACAATATTTTTCTTTACTTTACATTTTTCTTTACTTTATTTCGCGATTATACAACACACAAATAATTACTTTTGTACTAGTAGTATGGTATTACGTTTTGTACGTGAAATTGAAACAAACATATCTCCCACGCGCAATAAAGTATGTAATGTTTAAAAAATTATGATTTCACTGTGGATTTCATCAAATTCACATTTATCCATATGCCATGGTGTAATTACACCATTTACCTTTTTCTTCAGCATGTTGAAATTGTCTATGATCACTCCAATAAAAAGATTGAGCGTGAAGAATGAACCACATACGATGAATATGACGAAGTAGAGATAGGCGTACAGATTCGCCTCTCTTTGCGGTTGCAGATCTACTCCTCTCGCATCTACAGCGTCCTCCATTACCTCCATCCAACCCTCGAAGGTGGCCACTTGAAACAAAGCTAAGTAAGCGATGCCAACATGATCGAAAGTAATCTTACTATTCTGCCAGGAGTAATTCTTGCTGAAACATTCCTCTTTGGTGTTTACTATCTGAAATTGAAATGGTTGCATAAGAAAAATGTCTTGGATTAATATCAAATCGTAATGATTAGATGGATATGCTAAGTCGTTGTTTGCGAAAAATATTATGTTCAGATTTGATTGCTATTATGATTAGAACAAATAATTTTTATTTATATCTGATATATGTAATAAAATTAATATTAGTATACAAAGACTCTAACTACTATAACCAAAATAAAAAAAAGTTATAACATAACAATTATATTTTCTTTAAGCGATTTTGATTACAAATAATCATCATAAATAATTAAAACTGTTTTCGGTTGCCATTATTAATATTGGAAATCGTCTATAATGGTAATTCATAACCAAAAACAATTTTCGGCAACCGATAATGATTATTTGTAAGTAAAAACAATTTAAACTATTATTTTTGGTCTTTGTTAGTAAATAATTGTTGAATATAAATTAGAATTAATGAAAGTATTTAAATGCACGCATATTATGTCACGCATGTCATCCTCCTTACTGATAATTAGATTCGAATTAGAACAAAGTGATACTCACCGAAATATCCAACATTTCTCCGTACTCGTCAACGCACTTGAAGAATTTGCCGCCGAAAAATTGGACGCCCATTATCGAAAAAATAAGCCAGAACACGAGACAGACGAGGAGCACGTTGAATATACTAGGTATCGCATACATCAACGCGTTCACTACGATCTATGAGCCGGGAAGAAAAATCTTCTCACAATCAGTGAATAACGCAATAATCGCGTTCACGTATTCTATCGTTTATGTTTCAAACGAATTTTCGTAGATTGAGTTTTTTGTCTGCAATATATTTACCCTCATGCCTTGCCATCTTGAAATCGCCCTTAGCGGCCTCAGGGCGCGTAGTGTCCTCAGTGATCGTAACACTTTAAGGTTTTCATTTTCTTCTATTAAAAGGCTAAACATGGATACCTGTGTTTAAGGAAAACGTAATTTAGATCTCAATATAACTCATAAAATTTAAATAAAGAAATTCATGCCAATTAAATTCTCAGATTCTGTTAAATTAATTTAAAAATATATTTGTATTTGATATTTGCGTATGACAATGTATCGACCAAAGAAGATAAAAAAAAGTTAGAAGTCAACTATTTTTAAGAATAATCTAATAATTGTATTATAAATATAATTGCACGAGTGTTCTAAAAAATATATCGAGAATAAAGATAGGTATAGATATAGAATATTAAAATAAATTAAAGTTTTTTTGTCTGTCATAACTGATTTTTAATTTAAATAATCTGGAAACTTTTTGTATATACTGTGCAATTGAATTACGGATAAATATTAAGTAATGAAGTTCTTTTACAAGGAATTATAAAGAATAAATTATGCAGGAAATTAAATTTTCAAGCTATGTTAATTAAACAAGCAAATGTGCAAACTACATAAAGAGAATAAAACTTTCATTCCTTTTGTATTTCTGCCATATGTAAATCCTTGTATTATAAAGCGTGCAGCGGCATATTTAAAAACCGTAATATAATATTGGTTTATTTTTATATCAATTAAGAAATAAAAGTTAAACAGTCAAGCTGGATTTTAATGCTGGAAACAATCCATGTGAATTAATATATCACAATTACAATTTTGTAAATTGCACGTCAAAATTATTTTTAATGCGAATTGCAATCTTGAAATGCAATCAAAATTAGAGTAGTAATTACAAATTAAATTGACACGCAATTTAATAATATTGATAAGCATCTTTGTAAATATTTTAAAATTTGTAATTAATTTTAAGATATTTGTTTAATTTGTGATATTTTTACTCTAGTTTTTGGAAATGGAATTGTGATATATAAATTCACACGAATTGTTTTCAGTATTAAGATCCAGCTTGACACTTAGCTTTTATTTCTTAATTGTTTGTGTTGTTTACATCGCGATCTTTAAAACAATACTTTTTTATTATTATTATATTAATATTTTTATTATTTCTTTATTAATATGACATTGAAGTACTATATTAGACCGTGATATGAACACAAAACAGTTAAGGAATAAAGACTATATGATCAAGCTTGGATCTTTAATGCTGAAACAATTCCATGTAAATTTATATACCATCTATCCAATCCTGCAAATTGCGCGCTGAATTTATTTTTAGACTTGAAACCTGACTGGGAATCCTAACAGAACTAGAGTACTAATATTACAAATAGTTTAGCCCCTTTATTTCTTCTATTGTGTGTTCATATCGTGATCCAATATAATGTTTTAATAATATTATTTATACACGCGATATTTTTAAAATGTCTACTCTCTATATATATTAGTTATTGCGAAAAATATTATTAAGACCTCGGTAGTCTAACGGTGAAGACTTTCGCATGGAATGCGTGAGATCTCCGACCGAATATTTTTTGCAATAACTAAAATAAAATTATTTATAGATTTTACGATGTGTAAAGATTATTATAAAAATGCTTATGAGTATTAATATTAAACTGCTTATCAATTTAATTTGTGATATTATAATACTATTCTAGTTCTGCTAGGATTATGTTTCAAGTCTAAAAATAAATTCAGAGAGCAGTTACAGTTTGTTGGATTGGATTTATGGTATACAAATTCACATGGAATTGTTTCGACATTAAAGCTATTACAATTTATCATAAATTAGAAAATATTTTGTTAATATAGTCATGGTTTTAGAAAAGTTTTTTTTATTTAACCAATTATTATTTATTCCTTTTATATGCATATGAGAGTTTAATTAATGATGCAAACATTATTCATCTGCGGTAACTCATGTATAATTAACAAAAAAATAACGTATACCACATGCGTTTGCGGTAAATATCATTTTAAATTAACACGATACAAATGGAAACGTATTGAGACATATACAGTAACTTTCAACATACCTGGATCCACGGGGCCACACATAAAACACATAAAAAAAGGAACACGGAAACAACGTTCAAACAATTATTGCATGTTTCATCCAATATGATCTCAATTACTTCATCTTATCATATATACAAGTTGAACCATCTAGATAGCAATGAAAATTGTAATAATCATGGAATAATTATTACAATTTTCATTGCAAGTATAAAAAAGTTGTCAAATTTAAAAACTTAATAATCATTGGTAGTTTTGAAAAGAATACGTAGATTAATACAAATTATTCTATGCTACTTTTAACAGCATATGACCATTTTATAATTTTCGTTAGGAATAAAAATTATTAGGTATTCATAAAATTAGATGGCTCATCTCGAATACAAATATATAATGCCTCAAGACAAGCAAAGGAACCGAAAATACATTTCATGCCACATGTATGCGATCGCCCACAGTTTTGAAATTTACATCGGTTAGGTGCAAGACTCTGATTTATACTTACGAAAACGATTATAAAATCCAGGATTGTCCAGAAACTGGTGAAGTATTTACAGAAGCCTAAAGCTAGCCATTTTAGGAGCATTTCAACGCTAAAAAGTGCGCAAAAGCCAAGGTTGGTCCAATAGAGAATCTTTTTCAAAAAAGGATTGTCGTCTAAGTAGATGTCCTCGAAGCACAGCGTTATGGAAGATGCGAAAATTAAAACTAGGATCATCCATTCGAAAGCTGGCGTATCCACGACCGATAGAACGACCGTACGGATTCTTATCCATTTTTTGCCGAGATCCGTGGCGAGGCAACGATTGATACAGCTGCACCTAAACAATCATATCCATCGAACATTATCCAATTGCACAATGAATAAACATTTAATAAAGCTTTGAATAACTGAATTTTGAACCTTTAATAAATTCTGAATTATTGTCTTTATAAGTATTTAATACTATAACTGCCGAAGGTGTTAATTTGGAAATTTTATCGAAACTTAACGTGATAAGACATTTTCGGGACCAAATTCGTAATCGATGCATCAAAATTTACCACAAACAACTTTGTTTATTTTAAGATCAAAATGGTGTCGACCAGTGTAATTAGCAGAGCTAAAATGATCAAAAATGACAAATCTGCTAAAATATTCAATTTTCAATTTGATTTTGATTTAAATTATAAATGATTTCAAGTATTTTTATTTTATACTATTTTAAATTGCCAATATAAACGAAGATAAAAATACATCTTACTTCTGGTAGAAATGCTGGGGAAAGCAATCAAGCGGCTCTTTATTCTTCTTATTCCTACCGAACCCGGGAAACGAGCCCATTCCGTCGATGTACCTTCCTTTACTATCTCTTCTGCCTCCGACCGTAAGCTCGTCCACGTAACTCACGAGAGCGTGCCAAGGACGTTTTCCTATATTTTCATCATTTCGAATGGCCAGCTTTTCCTCTGGCAGCATAGCTACTTCCTCGTCCGGGTTGACATCCTTGAGCACCTCTAACTCTATACTCTCCTCGGGATTGGTCTCGTTGCTGTTGCCCTTTTCGGTCAGCTTTTTATTCTCCTTGACTGTTTCCTGATTGCTCTGACTGTAAGTGGTGAGAGTGGCCTGACGATAGATCGGATCGTAAGTGAAGACCGGCTGATTGAGACTCTCTTGATACGATCTATTATAAATATTGTCTTTGGGAAGGCTCAGCACGGTCTCTTGGATCGCGTACTTCTCCTTATCAGACTTGTCCATCACCTCGCGCACGATCTGCTCTAGCCGGATATTCTTCTCGTTCTCCGAATTCTCCTTTCGATGCTTCTGCTTACGCACGATCGACCGTATGCGATCGAACGAACGCGCGAGCTTCGATTCCTCGCCGACTTCCTCCTTTTTCTGTTTTAACTCTTCGGAATTGAAGCTGTTGAGCAACAACGCCAAGAAGAGATTGAGAACCATAAAGTTGCCCATCACTAGAGCCGGCAGGAAAATTGCGAAACACGTACCCGGCCCATCGTCTCTTTCCGCACGCATGCAGTCCCATAATGGCTCGATCCACTCACCGCACAGAATGCGGAATATCATCATGAACGAATGAAAGAAATCGTTGAAATTCCATCGCGGCACCGGATCCGGATAGAACTTGTCCAAGGTGTAGTCTTTGCTAAACAGCTGCATGCCGATCACAGCGAATATATAAATCACAATTACCAACACGAAAGTCAAATTACCGAGCGCGCCTATTGTCGAAATGATAATGCTGAGGAGGACCTTCATGGTCGTCCAGGATTGCGCGAGCTTTAAAACACGTAACAGTCTGAGACCGCGTATCACCGACAAGCCATCTACCAATTCGAATGTTAAATCGATAAGCGACGCAGAAACGATAATCAAGTCGAAGTTGTTCCAGCCATTGTTGAAGAAATCCTTGCTCAACGCCAAGAGCTTCAGGAAGCATTCGAATGTGAAGATACTGGTGAACACCTTGTTGCCGATGTTGAGCGCCTGCCGTATCGACTCGCTCATGCCGTGATGCTCCATTGCCAGGAAGCCGGTGTTCAAGACGATACAAAGGGTGATCATTAACTCGAACAGGGGATCTCTCACCACCTTGACGCAAATTATTCTGCGATTTGTTTTCATGTCGCAATAAGATTAAGGAAAAGTAATTGTTTTTATGTGTGCAATCTGTGATCCGTTCTTCTTACTAAATTAATCCTAGAATGCTATCAGACATAAATTTTACATGCAACTGAGCCAAGTTATTGGAACGTTAAGCTATATATCAGTGGTCATTAATTTTTTCCAAAAATTTTGAAAATCACTCGAATTATTTTGATGAAACTTTAAATATATAGAAAATTTCATTAAAGTAACCTGAGTGGTTTTCTTTTACTTTGATACATTTTTCTTCTACTTTAACACTGTGTGTCTTTCAAACTAAATCGTTTCGACTATATGATCATATGATGTTTTCACCTTGAATTTATATGAGGAATCACTTTCGTTTTTTATTTTAAATTTTAATGAAGATTATACTATATATATAATTTTGAGCTATAAAATGCAAACAAAATTGCTTTCTGACTAATCGAATCTGATAATTAGGAGAAATTATGAAAAATCTCGAATAACTTATTTCCGTATAAAAAAATTACGTATCAAAGCAAATATACTGCGTCAATATCGATAGCGTTACAAACTTAAGAATATATTTTTTTTAAATTAAAAATTTATAATGTGAAATTATAAATTTTACATTATTTTACATTATAAATTTCTTTTATAATAATAAATTATAAATAATTATTATGAAAATTAAAATAAGAAAAGAATTAAAAAACTGAATCTAAATTTTATCAACAAAATAAATGTCCAAGTTTTGCTATTACGTTTAGAAATAATGTTTGTGTAATATATTCTAAACATAAAATATATTCTAAACATAAAATTAGCAAAACGTGACAGAGAGCGTAATTCTAATATAATTATATCTCGAAAAACTGTTTCATGTGGATAGTTTCAGATCAACGTAAAGTATGTTTTATTTCGTTCAATGTTAATTAGTAATTGTTTACGTATCAATCACGTGTAATGCATAACTACCCAGGTGTACAAAATTTTAGAAAAACGAATATCAGTAAGTTTACCTTATACAGACAATTCTGAAATCTTAGCCATCCTTCGTAATCAACGCAGCATTGAATACACTTATCGCAATTTCTATCTGGAAGATCGTCTGTAAGCAATTTAAATACGATGTTTTATTTTTAATTTTTATTTTAAAAATTTGAATATTCTCAATTTAATAAAAAAAATATAATAAAGAAAAAATTAATCTTTCGTTCGTGAATTATATCTGCAAATGTGTTAGCGTACTAATTTGGATATATAGCCGCGATTTTGAATAAATAATGAAGTTAGTCCATATAGTCAACATGATCTATTATAAGCTTTGAATATTCATCATTGAACATTTTAATTAATTAATAAACTATGAAATTGTATTTAATTTTGAAAAATTTTACTTGATTTTGATCAAAAATACATTATACACAGTTTATACATACAGTTAAGTAAAAACTGATGCTAAATTGATTAAGGAATAAATTTTAGTTTGTCAAATCAATCATATAAAATAGTATTTACGTGACAAATATTATCTACATCTTTTAAACATTTAATATTGAGAGAGAAAGAGAGAGAGAGAGAATAATAAATTTTGATTAAATCATAATTACAATGAAAAAGTAGTTAACAATGAAAAAGTAGTTAACAAATTTTTCTAAATAGAATTTCAGAAAAAGTTTTCAATTGAGGAAACCGTCAACTTTAAATTGATTCGGAAATACTTCAAGCCGCTAAAAAATTCAATTACCGGCAATATTATTTATAAAGAAACACTGCTAGCATATTGCAATTTTTTGCTCACCTAAAACTACAATGTGCGACAGGTACTCTGGCGGCAGCGCGTACATATGTTTCTTGGTTTTAACCCCGTTGCATTTGAGCACTCGAATCTCTCGATTGCCGGTCCTCACCGACACGGTGACCGGTGCCGGTGGGCAATCCGGGCGCATTTGTTGAATCGGTTGGATTCTACCGTGTTCCTTTGGGGATTTCTCCTGTGACTTCTCTACACGATGCTCCCGCAACTCGCGCTTGTCATGCTCCTCAGCGGACGTGACATCGTCGCCGTCATGATCGTCTACCACCCCGGAGTCATCCAAAGATGACTGCTGATTGCTATTGTTGCTGGCTTGTCTGGAATGTAACATACCCCGATTTGGCGCTAACCGGTGAACCGTATTGGGTTCCAACGGTCTGGGGCTAATGTTCTGAAGCGGCAAGTGGGAAGGTCGTACACTAGAGTGCCTGGGACTTGGACTTGGACTGGGCGTCATAGACCTGTAATGGAATTTAACATTATATATTTCGGAGAGTATTTAGTATTTTATCGAAAAGATTTAGTTATCTTCCAATAAAATAAAAAATATATTGAGATTTATTTATATTATTTTTAAATATTTGATATTTGATAGTATTTTTTTTCAGTTTTCATGTATTAAAGAAAATTCTTTGAAAAAATATTATCCAAATTGAGAATATATATTTTGATATTATTTTCTTTGATGTCTGAATTATTCTTTATATAATTTTCATAAATATCTAAATATAAGTGATGATAGATATTTATATTTCAAATTGCTAAGCGATCTACGCAATTGTGTGATTTTAAAGAGCTGAGGTCGTATCGGGGATTATTCGAGACATTACACTAATTAGATTCAGAACTGCATAAAGTTATAGCTAGGTTCAACGCGAAATCGATGCTCACAATTAGTAATGACATTAACTTTGGGAATATCCTGATCGTATGTATCACTAATCCAGATCATTTCTTGTTTGTAGTGTGTTACGGAAAATAATATAATAACTGCAAGGAAAGAAATAAAATTCTTTATGAAAAAAATTGAAATAAAAAGAAGTTAAACAAAATATTTTTTTGTCATAAAATCGAAAAATTAACGAGAAATTAACTATAAATTATACAAGAAAATAATTTTATATTCAGAAAGTAAAAACCTTTTTTAATTTATATTAATTAATTTCTTCTAAGAATAAACAATCTATCTTTTATATTTTCTTAGTTTCTTTCACAACAAACAAAAAAATATCGAAATATTAATAAATAATTAAAATCAACAACTTAATTATGAATAATTAAAATAAGAAAATTTCATGAAATTGCATAATCTTTACAGACTGAATTAGGTAAAATGAATTAGAGAACTGAATGAATTAGATAAAAATAAAATAGAGAAAATTTTATCTTTTAGTTTATTTCAAGCAAATTTTAATTTTTGACAGTATTGTAATAAATTGAAACATCAGCTACAAATGATTAGGTAAAAAGCATTTCATAAAATTTTCGCTAAATACAAAACAACTATGAGTTAATAAAAGAAACTAGAGACAGATGAGAATAATAGCGGTAGTTCTGAGATAGATTGTACAAAATTCGCCAGAATATGCGTTCCATACAGTATGGCCTACCATCTACTATTGTGAGATTGCAAGGCAAGCACATTTGCTTGCTTTTCTTTTATTACAGTTTCTCGGAAATGAGGGCGTTTACGATGTTTCTTTCTGTATTTCTAGAACTAGCTTGCTGCTTAATGACTTCGCAAACTGCATATATATTTATATATATATATATATATGTATATATATATATGTACACACACATATATGTATGTATATATATATATATATATATATATATATACATATATATTTATATGTACATCTATATGTATGTGTGTATGTATGCACTGTGTTAAATATTATTACTTTAACTCTCTGTATATAGGATAAAGGCACTGATTACTTTTAGTGCAAAAATGCTGCAAAATTAAAACGTTTTTGTTGTGATACTTGCTACTTCGTATTTACAGAAGCAAATGTTTTAACTTTATACTTGAGGTATTTTGTTCTTACTCATAGTCTTTTTCATTTTAAAACATATTTTTCTTGAATAATAAAAGCAGAAACAAATTTAATGTAATTCATGTTTCCTCAGTTTTATTTGATTTATAAAAGCTTTACACGCAATTGAACATTTAGAGAATTTTATTTATATTTTTTCAAGTTAAAAAGCTAAAAGCATTTATTTTATATAATCTTCTATAAATTCAATTTTTTTTTTCAAAAAATAAACGTTTTAATCTTGAACATAAATAGTTATTGTCGTATGTTTAGTATTGTGTCGTGTGTCGTGTATTTAGCATTTTTCGGTTAAACGAAATCAAAATCTCCATTTAGTAACTTGCAACCTTAACGAGTGTCCGATAGCAATGATGATGAGAAATTTACTGTATAAAATCGGTCGTAAATACAGATATAGAAACCTGCTGCGTGCACCACCGTTTTTCTCCTGGCCGATGCTGCTCCTCCCGCGCTTTCTTCTACGCGTCTTTTTCCTTGTATAACTGCTGAGCAAAACTCCTTTACGGGCATCAATTCTTTTTTGTTTATTTTTCGTCAGTGTCTTAATATTGATTTTCGACGGATCGAAACTAAACGTTGAATCTTCGCGATGATCCGTCAAGTCTTTCCTTCGTTCCTGCATTCAAAATACTCGGCTAAATGTAGATAACGTTGTAAAGTGCTAGATAAAAGTGATTAATGAAACAAACTAACATATAACATTTTATTGTACAAATTATTATTTTTAATGCATCGTTGTAAAATGTCAGCATAACTCATTCAAATACTTCGTATTTGAATTAATATTATATTTTGAAATGCAACTTTAACCTACCGAAGCTGACATCAAAATCTATAATTACTGACATTGGATCTGTAAAATCCATTTAATTTATGTTAACTAAAAAGTATTAATTAATTTAAAGGATATAATTTATATGCATATATAAAAAAATGTGTATGCGTGCATGTGTGTATGTATGTGAATACTAAATTTATTTTAATGGCAATAATTTAAATTTGTATAGATTCAATATAAAAAATTGAATAGATCCAATAAACTCATCAGCTTCGAAGGGTTAAAGTAAGACATAGGTATATGTCAAAAGTTGAAATAAAATACATACCTCGTTTGTAATCTCGGCTTCTTCTTCGTAACTCAACGCCACGACAGCCAGCATCAAATTTAATAAATAAAATGATCCAAAGAAAACGACGACTGTGAAGAATGTGACACTAATAGGTCCGCATGCCGATAACACCTGTTCAATAAAACTATACTTATCATTTCTATAACAAATCATTTGCCATATAAAGAATCACTCTATTATTACATTTCTATAACCATATAAAATATTTTATGATAATAAATTGATATGCTGGTACGTATTTGCAGCTGATATTTTCTCGGTGGATGCAATGATTTACACTTACATTTTACCCACAAAAGATATAATATTTTATAAATATAATATATTTTTTTTTAAACAAAGTTCATTAATTTTCACTTTCCATCAATTTTCTGAATACAACTATTAACTCTTATTCACTTAATATCAATTTAGAAAAAGCAAGTTAAAATGGACAATAAAAGATTTAAAAAAAGAAACTCATTTTATTTAATTTTCTCTAAAAGACGCGTCGAAGGAATTTGGAAGCACGAAAAAGCGCACGACTTTTGTTACAGTCTCCATTTATACCATGAAACAATGAACAAAACAAATCTTTCAGACGACAACCTTGTTGTAAACATCCTCCCAGTAATCTAAGGTAATCAGTTGAAAGGTCGTGAGCATCGACCACAGGAAATTATCGAAGTTGGTGTAACCGTGGTTTGGATTAGGGCCAACGCAGAGACAAGTGTAGCTTTCGTTGCAATGCCTGGAAAATAGGAAAGACCCACATTGTCGACACTGTAATATCCGTGTTAACCGTGAGAACGGTTCAAGTGTTCGCAGTATACATGTCATCAAGTGTGGAAATATTACTCGTCACGGCCTTTACCGTGTCAGTATTCGCGGTCAGTCCGCGGCAGCTATCGACTATGTGACCCGCATTCGTTAGGCAAGAATATTTAACGCCTCATTATCTCGTAAAATTAAAATTGGAAAATTGCAACTGTGTAATTCTTGTCATCATGTTTTACAACGTTTCATCCCCTAGAAACAAAAAAATATATGTCGTGCTAGTCCTATCATTTATTCATTCTTTTCTTACGCAACATTTTTCACATAATTAAAAGATAACAATTAATCTTTAATGAAATCTGGATATTGCAAGATATTTAGATGTCAAGTGATATTCATTAAATATCTGTGTGTTTTATGAAAAAATAACAGCAGATATAAAAAAAAACGGTTTTGCTGAAATATCTAAAAATTTAGCTTAAAATAGAGAAAAGTAATTTTGTTTGAACCATCAAACTATTTGCTGCATTGTTATCAATAGCTAAGCTACGTAATTATTTTGATGGTCCAATGAAATTATTTTCAGATCCGTATGTAACTAAATTTTCGAATACTTCAGCAAAATCGTTTTTTCTGTGTACAGTTATAAAATTCGGCGTGAAACACCCACAGAAAATTGTCATAAGTGTAGTATTTCCACGGACGAGTTCTTCACAAGGATGTCTCATCGAAAGTGCCAAGAAACTGTTAGCTCTGGACATATCGATCGAATAAAAAGCCTACTTTCCACGGAATACTGCACCGATATATCGAAAGAGTAACCGTAAAGTTTGTGCGCCGCTGTAAAGCAGTAAAGCTTTTGCAAACTTATTTATACGAGTTGGGCGAATTCGTGCATACGTGCGCTCGGCGTAATCATTTGGGGAACGTATGCTTCCCAAAAATCAATAGATATGGAGGTGCTCTCACACGTTCGCCAAAGTACATGAAATAAACCGATCTTAACGATACGCTCGAGCGATCAGGCATAACCGGATATCATAATGAAAATGTTCTTATGTCGCCCGTGATTAATTAGTAGCTGTGACAAATAATCATGTAACATCGTCGGTGATCGTGTGATCATATAACAAATAATCATATAACGTGACAAATAATTACATAACATTGTCTGTAACAGTTCACTGATTTTATACAATTGCCGATAATCAATGATGATTTATGTTTTATCTAGGGTTGGGTAGTGCTAAGTTAAAAGGTTAAAAAGTTAAATAATTTTAGCTTGATTTACAAGTACGAAGTAATGCTTATACCGGTTGAAACTAGATTTTAAATGCTTTAAATAATTTCATGTGAATTTATATACGTTTGTAGTTTCTCAAATTGCGCTCTGAATTAATTTTCTGGATTCAGAAACATAACTGAACTATCATAATAATATTACAAATTAAATAGCTTAGCTGATTTATCTCATATATGATTTATCTCATTAATCTACTGTTATTAAATTAATAAGATTATTTTCAATTAGACCACTGTTATGCAGTCAGTATATTATTTTTAGTGTACGTACTTCTTGTTTTCGTACATTGATTTTTTTTCCAAAGGACATGAAATCTTTATAATTGAGAAATTTTTGTAGCTACTCTCTTCTTTTATAGATACTTTATTTGGCTTCGGATAAATTTTTCTATAGTATAGAACAAAATTTTAATCGAGTTATTAAAGACTACTGATTTTACACAATTGCTAATAACCAACAACGATTTATATTTTCATCGCGAATGAGTTTCTATTAGAAATTTCTGAACATTATATTTCTATATATAAGATACGTTATGAAAAAAATTATTTTTTATCATGAATATTTCTCACATAAATACAATACAATTCCCTATAAATTTTAAACGGAAGGATAATTAAAATTTCCAAAATAATACAGAAAAATATGATATTATATTAACAGCATTAATAGTTTATTTGATAATAATATTGTTAATTTAATGACAAATATTATGCATGATATATACAGTATTATATATAATAATATTATATAGTATATTATATAGTATTAATATTTTATTACAAGAAAAACAAGATATATCTGTTTCATTATTACTGTTATTGAAAATTAATAATTTTTTATTAGATCATTGTTATCTAATGTTATACAACTTTTTTCTTCATGTACATTCTTTTTTCTATTCACAAATTTTCTCTCCAAAAAAATATGAAATTCTTGAAATTGAAAACCAGTTTTCTTCGCAAATGCTTTACTTGACTTCGGGTAAATTTTTCCGCAGTAAGGAATAAAGAAATTTCCGTCGGGTTGTCGAAGACTGCCGATTTTTCATCGAGAAAAATAAACGTGACATTGAGAAATTTTGCTATAAGACTGACATGTCGATTCAGAGAGACAGTAAAGCCATTTTTCTCGCCTCCCTTGCAATTTCGTCGTGAGGAGAAAATCGAATGGCACTCATCTAGAGATGTTGACGCGAGGTAACACGATCCACGCATCTTTCGAATTAGCTTATCTAAAGTGGAATCGGAGATGGCAGAGAGACACGAACCTGGCGCCGGTTACGTTGCCGCAGATGATCGGCTCCTCGTCCTCGTTGAACGCCCAGTTGGATGAGTTCCAAGTCCACCTGTTGGCGACACGAAAATTCCGTTAGCGTTTCTGTCTCGGATCCCCCAAGGCCCGCGATCTCCGGAGATTTAAAATGAGAGAATTACGAATCCACCATCTTTCTGTGTGTTATCGCGCAGCAGTCAATTTATCAAATTAATTTTCTGCAATTTGCCGTTGTGCAATATGTGGGCGAATGAATCAAATTAGCTATGAATAATATTCGATAAAAAACGTGATAATAACATATAGAAGAATGGATGAATAGAATGAACAGCACATCCATAAGCGTATGATTATAAAGAATCCAATACTTTTGTCTTTATACAATATATTATGAATTGTGATTATTCTGTAATAATATATTATATAATTTTCATATGTATGATGTTTCCTATTTCATCTAGAAATCATATCCGTTCCAAAAAAGACAAATCACGTAATTTAATTACATTTAATGAGTACAGTTAATAAGTAAATATTACTCTGTCAAAAGTGAAATTATTAAAAAAAATCATTAAAATTGTCACAACAAAAAGGATGAGATTTGATTAGTCAATAATTTTTGTAATAAAAAAACATTTAAAATTCGAAAAATAGTTTTTCCTCTTTTCTGGGAAATTTAATTTAGCTAAACTTCTGAAAACATTTCAATTGTTAAGAATTTTTGCAAAAATATTCGAAATAATGACTGCTTCTAAGTGGATTTTTATTAATAAGAAAAGATTTAATGCCAAAGTGTTTAAATAAAGTTATTTGTTTTGTTAAGAATTTGTTGCTTGCTGTACATAGAGTGGAATACTTTACACTGATAATAATGTCAAAATGAGGATATGATTCACGTATATACGAGAGTGTATAAACTTATGTGGAATCTGGCTTTGCATGGGAAGTTGAAAACCGATGTGAAACCGAACAATCATTGATCTCGCTTTGCATTGCAAAATATATATGTGTAAAGGATACGTTTATTCCTTCCTCTTCTTAGAAAAATGGGAGGAGGGTAGGGGATTTTGTCTCCCCCGACTGGAAGGGAAAGGTTCGGGGGAGCAAAGTTTCCTGAGTCTCATGAATCAGGCAAGTACGTGATATAAGCATAGCCGAGAAGTAGGAAAGATCCTCTCTTTCCCGCTTATCATATTAATAACTTCTAATTAAAAAAAAACATTGAAGAATTAAATATTAAAGTGCACAGTGATTAAAGAGAAATATATATGAATATTTATTATCGACAGCAATATATGCTACGACTTTGCAGTTGTGATATACAAGTATGATACCTTATGTAGGAATCTGTCTAACGTTTTCTTATTATTTTTAGTATAGGTAGTTTTTATTATTTTTAGTATAGGTATTGTAACATCATCGATTTAGTAAAGTAATTTAATAGATGTATCATTTATTTAATGTCTTCATTTATCATTTGTGAAGATTCATGATACGTTCTACCTAGAGGTTTTGCTAATCTTTTTGGTATCCATTATTTTCATATATTGTAGACTTATCGATTTAATAAGACAAAGATTAATTATATTACTTACATAATATATTGGGTTGGCAAGGAAGTAATTGCGTTTTTTTAGCTCAAAGTTGTACATATAATGAATAAAATTTAAATTTAAAAAAAGAGTTTTAAAGCTCGAAATCTCTACTTTTAAAAGCTTACCACATTTTTTAAGTTTATGTGAGTTTGGTAATTTTTACATACCAAAAATTACGAGCTGAAAAAGACGGAAAATTTTCTTCTCACTTTGTGGGTTTGTGGTAACGTGCCCAATTGAGAAAATTTTCTCAATTATCTATCGTGAAAGTTTGATACTTTTCCTACAAAATCGTTTTTTTTAAATATTCCTACGATTTTTGGTTACTGAGTTATTGCGGATTAAATAAAAGGATCATTTTGACTTTAATTGCTCATAACTTCGTTAAAAATTGTCGTATCGCAATTTAAAAAAGAGATTCTTAAAGCTGAAACTTTACTCTATCAAGATATATTTATATTGGTTGATAAGAAAGTAATTGCGGTTTTTACTGATAGATGCCTTTTAAAAAACGCAATTACTTTCTTTATTTATTATTTGTGAAGATGATTAAATTAATATATATATAAATTTATACATTTTTAATTTTTATATTAAATTCATTGTGAAATTTCTTTTTAAGTTTTCGTTTTAATTAAAAAAGAAGTTTTTTAAGCGAAGTTTCCAAAAAAACGATAAAATTATTAGGTGTTGGAATTAATTCGTAGCGTTTTTAATGAAAGAATGTTATTTATTTCACATGAGCATTAAAAAATACATTAATGAAAGTACTTCCCATCACTTGTAAAACGCTACGAATTAATTCCAACACCTAATAATTTTATCGTTTTTTTGGAAACTTCGCTTCAGCAATATAAAATTTTATTCAAACATTTTTATTCAAACATTAAACTTTTCTTTTATCTACGAAAATCTATTTAATAACCCATTTATTTGACATAATTTCGAGTATTTCTGCCAAAATTTATGGTAATTGAGCGTGGGACGTTTTCGAAAATTTATTTCTTAGTTTTTTGAATTGTGTACTACTTTTGAAGTAAGAGAATGATATTATCAATCACTTTCAATTATTAATAGTAAATCAGAAATGAGCGTCGTTTATTCAATACAAAGCAAAATTAATTTCTCGTTTTCACTTAACGCTGTATTCAATTCTAATATTACGGTTCCAGTTACCTATGATGAAAATGATAATCATGTAACCGCATTCAACGAGAATTAACACGGTGGGAATACGCGTATTATTTGCTTATATGCGCTTACGCCTGTAGCAACGTTTCCTCGTCTCGAGCAGCAAGATCATCGTATCGTACATCGCTATCCATGACAGGAATACAACGTTACCAACCATTCAGTTTAACCAATGTGAAACAGTATATCCTACCAAGCGGAATAAATTGCCACATACTGTTTCACTGTCATTTGTTAGAGAATTACAGATGCGATCATTCTCTAATGAAAGGTGAATTTGCGTAAATCCTGTAGAGGATTTCCACCTCATTCTTCTAATTAATATTAAATATTATTTCCTTTTAGTTATACAAAAAGTAAATAAATTATTAAAAGTATAGAAATTATTAAAAAATAAATCATTTATTTAAATTTATCATTTTTTATTTTCATTCATCTTTATATTGTTTTACAACTAATAAGCCTCACTTATAATTATTATTTCGTTTTATATCAATTTTTTTAATTATATTTTGACCAAGTCTTGCAAAATCTAAATTTAACATGAAAACAATTTTATTTAAAATTTAAAAAAGCGGTACAAATTGTCGTTATAGTATTTCATTGCCATTTGCTAAAGAGTTACAGATTGTTTTTTATTTATGCAACCCTTAAACTAAAGACAACTATAATCTAATATGGGTGTCTACTCAAGACGCCTTATTCACTGTTTCTAGGTAATTACACGATTAATTTAACAGATAGTACTAATAGCTTGTACAAATTGTCCGTCTGACTCGATTACATCAGCTTATTGCTCAATTTGTTCATTCTATTATCGTCAGTAAAGCAAAATGTCGTAGTCGTTACGTAATATAAGATAATTGCTTCCTATAACTATCAAAAGATTGGTTATTAATTTTATTATATGCTATTGTAGCTTTATATTTATACTTTACATATATTTAACACTATATATTTAATTTACATTTTTGTTACAACATTTCGTTTATAATCAAAGAAAAAATTTTTTGTAAGGTAGTACCTATTTGGCCAACTTATAGACATATCTATATTAGGTTGTAATGTTTTTTTAATTCTTTTGTTATTTCAAACCACGGATTCTAATTCAGCTGCTAAACATCGTGAAAGTAAGTAGATAAGTAGATAAGCTTATTGTTTGGAAAATAGTTCTTTGTGTATTCTTATATATGTTAATAAACATCAGTATATTAATAAACTTATAATCTTATACATCCAGAGAAAAGGTTGCTTCGATTTAAATTTTTCTTTGCTATATAGTTAAAAAAACAATTCCTTTGATTTGTGAAAAAGTTTGTTTGATTAAAACATTATTTTTTAAAATTAAATAAAATTTAAAGAAATTATGCTCGAATCCAAGAAATGATGTTAAAATCATGATTTCTTTAAATCAAATAAATTATATTTGATTTTAAAAAATAATGTTTAAATCAAAGAAATTTTTTCACAAATCAAAGGAATTTTTTCTTTAATCGTATAGCAAAGAAAATTTCTTTAAATCGAAGCAACCTTTTCTCTGGGTGTAAGATTAATATTAGATCACTTTATTTTTTCTAACATTTTTTTTTTTACGAAAAAGAATGAAATATGTACTTAAGTCATATTGAGAACATATGTAGTATGCGCGAAATGTTACTTTTTTTTATCTTTACTATACCTATATGTAAATATGTAATATGTAAATATGTTTCACATTTTTTATTAACAGAAATGAATGTTCTCTTTTTTAAATATGACCACTAATTTTCAATTTTGGACTCAATAAAAAATTAGAAAAAAAATCGCAAAATTTAACAGGGACTTGATAGGATTATTAATTTCAATCATGTTTAATGTTTATCGATTGATATTAATTGATTTTAATTGAACGAGAAAAATTATATATATATTTTGAAAAATCTAAATTTAACATAAAAAATATCTTATTCAAAATACATCAAAATAAATTTCGCAGAAATTTAAATACAAAATCAAAAGCTATCGCATTCTATTATTGTTTCTACATTTAGTTGATATTTAATTTATAACTTGAATGTATTATTTCCGACACACTCTTAATTCTCATCATGATGAGAATCGTAGGGCTTTCTTCTTATGAATTGAGTTCATGAACAGTACGAACATTTCTATTCCTTTTTTTTTACAACTTTTCAGACTATTTTTCCACTTCTAGCCACGCGCATATCCCCACATAAATCAATACCCGTATACTCCATTCTCGTAAAAAAAAGTGTCCCTTGCTCTCCGAGAGCAGGTTTAACGCATAATGATGCATCCGTGCATCATTATGCATCTTCTCGAAGAGACGCATCATGTCACACGTCACGATTTGATGGGATGTGCACCGAACACGGATCGATACTGTCGAGCTGAGAAGCGCGGACAATGAGATCCACCGGCGGATAGTTACCTAAGCACGTGGTCCGTTTGGTATAGCGACCGGAAACACGATAGCAATGCTTGTAAAGGCAGTGCACCGCATACTGACGGATTACGACACGGACGTACTAACACGTGCTCTCTATTTCCACATTTACTGTTCTACTCTCTTTGGTTTAATCAAAAATTTGCTCCTTTTTTCGATTGCTTCTGTAATATAAAAAGACCAAGACAGTTTTGATATGTCATAAATTTGCACGATATTTTATTTACCCTAATCATTATATATTATCCTATCAATTTATACACAGTAGAAAACACTTATACTTGTATTAAAACAGATGCTTGAATTTTTAACATACTCGCGTATTAATTTGACATAATGTGATTATATTATTTGAATATTTTGTGTTAAATAAATATTTAATTTTTTTTTAGTGTTGATACAAATATTAAAATAACGCAATTTCTGAATAAGTAAACAAATAAATAAGTAACAAATAAAATAAGAATAATATAGTTTTAAAACATTAAGCTAAATGAATGTACGTATTAATTCAACTGTAATTTATTAAATGTTAACTTTATTGAAAAATATGCTTTTACAATTTGTTTCCAAATTATGTCAAAATGTTATAGTTTTGTATTAATTTTTAAATAATATTTGTGTTACTTTCATTTTTAGCAATATAAATTAACTTAATTAATGTAAAAATTTGGATTGTTTGGAATGTGTGAAATGTGTTAAATTTAACACGAATTTTTTAATTGTTTAAAAGAAATTTCTAACTGTGTAGAAGAGCAATATAGAGTTACATAGAATGATATCAGCAAATGATTTCTTGTTATGCAAGTAGTGATTGACTAATTAGTCTTGTAATGTCGGAATTTCACTTACACCCTTTTTGCTCGTCTTAGCCTTTTTAAATTGTAGGTTTGCAAAAACGAGCTTTAAATTTATATTTATTGCAAGAGCAATATGTTTTTACAAGAATGTATCTGATTTCGATTACGAAAAATAATTGCTTGTAATTAAAGGCAAATTTTCTCTGCGCATTCCTTAAGAGATTGAGGTTTTACTAAAGGATTTTCTGAATTCCTCATTAGTCTTGGGTGTCAGACTATTTGGATCCACCACTGCGCTTGCGGAAACTGTATCGTTGATTATGGTCGGATTACTGCGACGATTAAGCACCGCTTTAGATGATCCTGCATGATTTACATATCTGTGGTGATGCACGCTTATCTTGATTATTTAGAATAATCTTTCCCTCCTTTGTGTCTTTAATTAAACCTTCTTTGCGCAATTCGATTTTATTTTACGATATGAATAATTTTCTTAGTATAATATTTATCATCGATTAGTTTCGTATTGAACATGATTAGATCGTAATTTACAAATAGGAATTTATCATACTTATTTCTCATTAAGAATTTTATGATGAGAAAGAATGCGCGCGTAATAACCGTATTATCTTTTCGTCGAAGTCGATACAAATTTTGTGGGATAATATTTTATTGCAAGTGCGCTTGTATTTGAAATTATACAAAAATAGTACAAAAGTTTCTGTGTTGTGTGTTGGAATATTAAACATTTTTCAACTGCATTGTGGAATATATTTCTCTGGCAAAATCTGTGCGAATGATATTTTCACTACCGGCTTAATATAATACTTCACAGTTCTCCAATATACAGTTTCTCCGATTTGGAGAAACGTCAGATAGAGATAGATATATCCAAAAGTTACGTTATTATTTTTGGAATTTGGATTTATTTACATTTTTTTTTACGATACGACTAATTATAGATCTTTGAAGTATAAAGGAAAAGCTAACAATGCTAATGCAAAATCCAATATATTTACAAATAAATAACTAACCGCTTATATCAATCTATCAATTTATAATATTGCATACTTAATTCGAAAAACTGGAAACTTTATAAAAACTTTATATAGAATCAATACTGCTTAACGTTCAAAGTTTCTTTAATATATAGATATATTTGACATGAACAATTGAGATTATGTCTCAATATTTTTCACATAAAAATTCGGAATTAATTAGAACTGAATTTTACGCAAGCGTAATAATGAAACTTACTCCCTCCAGTCGATTTGCGTCGTATTTGGCTCTTGTTGTTTCACACACTTATTCCTAAGTTCACCCATATAAACTTGCAAGGCAAACAATGCAAAAACCATCAGGCAGAAAATCGTCAGCGTCATTACTTCGGCAAGTTGCTTGAAGCTGTGTAACAGCGCGTTGATGATAGTTTTTAGACCTGTAACATACATTACACATACATCATTTTCTATCAATTGGAATTTTCCCTTAATTTCATATTTGATATTTGAATGTTGCTTTTATTCCGTAAATATTTCGAGATATTCCGAAATACGCTTAAAATGTTTTTTAGGAGGGGAAAGAATTTTATGAATATTTCAGAAACGTTAGCTGGATTACAATTATGAGAGATTATCCCATACAACATAATTCTAAATAATGTCCAAAGGATGTCATATGGACGCTCGGAGAATTGTATTCTGTGCTATCTTTTAATAAATATACTGAAATATATTTTAATTTCACTTCTTTTTTTATGGCATTATTTTTATCTTTCCGTTATATTTTTGAACATCTTTGTTTTGATATGCATATTTGCATAAAAACATTGCATTTTAATTTCACTACTTTTTTTGTGATATTATTTTCGATTTTTTTCATTATATAATATTTTAGAATGTACTTACAAAATAATTTTGCGTAATGATATTGCAAAATATACTTGATACCTTTTTTTACATTTTTATTTAATGTCTTTATTAACATTTTTTATGGATATCTAGTAGTGAGAAAACCAATCTTGTCCAAGTAGAAAAAGAAGACAACGATGACATACACATACATTGGACAGAAAAATGCATGCATATATTTATATCTATGCATCAAGTATACTTACGAACATGATCATTGTTTCATTTTAATTGTAAAAAAAAATCTACATTCTTCCCTAATACAATACATCCATTTTTTTTTATAATATCAATTTATTTAAACAAAATAATTTTTTATTACATAAGCATCCTTTCTGTAAATAATATGCTGTAGCATCTCTTTCATGACATGGTAGTGTTCCTTTCATGATAAAAAGATGTTATTAATGTAAACTTTTCAAAAATATACTTGACGAGAGACGCTATCACGTCTCCTGATTAAGCTTCAGTGGGTAAGTCGCAGTCGATTTTTTTGAGACCGCGGCAACTTTACTCGAGAAACATCTTATTAACCTACTAGCAAAGATGCGATATTCATTATAGCGTATCTTTAGAGAGGTATTCATCAGCCTTTAGGAATCCCACAAAGCATGAATTGCCTCACGACTTCCATCTGTTCTTAAAAATATTATGTTACGAATATGCTTCGATCTTCTACTGGGTCGTATGCGCTCGATACCCAATTCATTGTTTGACTTTTCAGGATTACTAAGAGAAACTTATTGTTAGAGATCGAAGATCTTCAATTTATAGCATTCAGTCATGTACGTTCGCAAATATTACGAATATTTCTTATTTATTTTTTTATTTGACTTTAATATTAGAACATATGGGGAAAAGACTTTGCGATCAAATCAATAAATCACGTTCGATGAATAGCTGTATACATTCGCGTACTTTTTGGATTTGTACACGCGGCATTTGAAATCGATATCACAGACCGTCGAGATAAATCACGATCCTTTTCATCGAACGTACGATAGATGCGAAACGGAACGGTTTCGATAACATCTGGAATAATCTCCCTGTTCTCTGTTCACAGAACAGAGATGACATTCGCTGTATTCGAATTCCCTGTTCATGCGAACTTCGGTCAAAGTTCGCCGTTCGTATATATACCACATCGACCCCGCCATCTCTTTTCCGTGAACAAGAGATGACTTAAATCTTCTTCCGCCATCCCCGAACCTTAGTCGCTTTGTGGTTTTCATTCGAGTCGCCAGAGACGGACAGCCGTTTATAATTTCCTACTATACCTTTTGGTTTTTTTAATTTAACTAACTTTAGACTGCTCTGGCAAACCTGTTAGTTTTCGTGTCTTTTGCTTTGTTATTTCGCGTTGAAATTTCAACATGTTCGGTCTAAAACCGCTCGACATGCGCGTCTGATCAATGTTGTCGTTTCGTTTTGCACGTCTTTTACAAGATAATTTTTATTCATAACTTTTATTTCCCGCAAATAAATATAGAACGGCTAATAATCTAAACATACGATTTTTGACACCATTAAAACATATAATGATGTTGATGAAGTAATAAAAGGCGAAAGAATTAAAAAAATATATGTATAAAGATTGATTTAAATAAAATTATTTGGAGCAACAATGCACAACCTATGGCACAATTGTGGATTTTTGTGACCTGCCGGCTTATAGCTAAAAATGTATTGTAAAATTTTCTATTTTATGCAAACAAAAATATTAACAGCTCGAAAGATTTTATCTCTTTCTCAAATTAGTCTTCTGAAAATGATCTTTAGGGAAGATCAGAATCGGTTTTCACAGTTTTTGAATAATAATTAAAAAAAAAGTGAATGTAAAATTTTGAAATACTATTTAAGTTATAATATATCTATATCCCTTAGGTATTAAAAAAAAACTTGAACACACATCATTGTACAAATAAGTTATTTAATTTTATTTGAAGCTGCAAAAATGTCAATTAGATCGATATTTAGGGTTGACTGTCACACGTTCCAGGATTGGCAGTAAAATATTTTTTATGAATAAGAAATACAAAAATTCAGCTTTTTATTTTAATGTCAATTCTATATTTTAGGAAATAATGCTCTATAAGCGCAAAATATGGAATGATATATGAAAATTATAAAAAAAGAAATAATATTATAATATTTCGAAAATATTGTATATAACATTTTTTAAATATTATTTTAATATTATCCTTGGTATTATGAAATTGATTATCACACAATCCCGAGTCATTTTGGACAACCTATCTCACATGGTTATTTTTAGTAAAAGAGATTGTATTTACAAACTGGTCAGAATAATGATGAATTAACTACAAAAAATTTTCTGAGATATGTCACTTTCTATTCCTTCAGTAGAAGGAAATAGCAATTAATAATGCTAAAAACTTGCCAGACAACAAAATAGAAGATAAGAAAAATTTACTCACCAACTTAATTTTCTTAAAAGGTTTTGGGAAAATGTCGGGGAAATATAAACAAGATAAATAAACATTTTTTCATGAGCTTGATCATTCATAATTTCTATAAATTTTTTGGGCTGATAAATCAAATGATGCAAGTTCTTCTCTCTATCCGAATCGCAATGTGACACGAAGTAAGCTCGGGCAATTCCCTTTAACACGCTATCGCAAATTTACAAACCTGTCCCACACCGAGTGCAGATCAGTGTTGAATATTGCAAGAGATTGCAAGGGAAACGATTACGAGAGCGATTCGCGAGTGGAACCGCTAAACGTCCTCATGCATATATTAATACGCAATCATAAATGGCCGCAAAAAAAGCCGTACGTGCCACGAACGTTTAATTATGTATGTGGAACATCGCGATGAATTCTGATGTCGAATATTGTAATTTCAATCAAGTTATTAATACTATAATAATGTTATAAAGATAATAATAATGCATAAAAAAATGTACAAATATCTAGGTTATCAATGCAATGTATTATGAATCCCGCTATACTTGATTGTTATTCAGTTTTTGTCATGCGAATGGATTAACGCGATAAATCACGATGTGCTTACGTGGAGCGCGAAAGCAAGCGATTTTTAATTATTCGGAGCAACCATTTATACTGATTTCAGCGAAAAGTATATAAATGCGGTCTTGATTTAAAGTCACAATTAATACGAGAAACGGTTCAGTTTATCTGCCGCTGATTAATGCATGTCTACTGACATCGATTAGTGCGCATTTAATCGCTATAGTATATAAAATGCTAAATTTTTGTCATCTGTAATCAATACGTATCGACACACGTTCACATTCAGTTGTTTCATCGCAATAGTCATAAATGTACATTTTATCTCAGGAAAAGAGAAACAATCCCTGTTTTTTTCAATAATAAATTAAACTAGACTGTTATATGAATAAATACAATAAGTAAAAGAGTGCCAAATACGTACACGGTCGAGATCTATTGATATCTAATTAGATTTTGATATCTAATTATACATCTATGTAAATTTTAAATACATCTTTTGATCTCAGTTATATAAACTCGCTGTTTATTATTTTTACTTAATGAAATAAAATGATCACTGAAATTGTAAAGCTAATTTTTTTTTAAGACTAACTGTTTCTTTTTTTTTTCCATTAAGTTATGAAAAGAATGAATAATCATCGTTTTTCTATTTGAGGCGAGAAAGTCTATTTGGTACTTTAGGTATTTCTCGTTGAATCAAACGCAGGGAAATACATGTCTCAGAAACTCGCTGTATTACCTGGCATAATGGATACAGTCTTAAGTGCTCTCAACACCCTGAACGTCCTGAGACCGGCCAGATTTCCGACTGCCATCCCAATAGTGGCGTATCCACTGGTAATTACAACGAAGTCCAACCAATTCCAGGGATTCCGCAGATAAGTGTACTTGTTCAGTATAAATCCCTTCGCGATTGATTTTATCACCATTTCCGCCGTATATATGGCTAGGAAGATTAATCTGTAACATGAGAAACATCGGACATCAGATCAACTATCCGCCAACGTTCGTTATCGAAAACTGATATATTTACAAAAAAATCAAAATATTATTTAACAGTTTTATGATTTCCAAGAAATATAAGTGTTTGTTCGTATTTAGATCGTTTCAAATTTTGTTTTAAATATAAAAAATGTTACATTTAATGATATTGTAAAACATATTCATAATCTTTATAACGGCAACACAAATAAGTACAGAGTTTCAATAGTCATTTATTACTGACAAGGGAACGTTCCAAATTGCAAAAGCGATATCAAAAAATTAAAGCTACCAGTCAAAAGATCACGTTTGAAATAGATATTCTAAATAGTTAAATCTTGTAGATTCTGCACTCTATTTGGTACGAAACATATTTGATCATTTTAACTTTGAGATAAAATATCTCGAGAGCAATATATTTCTGGAAAAAACGTTTTAAATAAAAGTTAGAGTTTGAAGAAGGTCATTAGATGAGCTACTTAGATTTTAGAAAAAAACCTCGGCCTTATTGGGCCCAAAACGGGCCCTAAATCCAAAATCTAAGTAGCTCACACCTGATGACTCACTTCAACCTACAACTTTTTATTTGAAACATTTTTTCCAGAAATATATTGCTCTCGAGATGTTGGATTGTTTTCAAAATATTTTGTATCAAAGTTAAAATGGCTAAATATGTTTCATATTAAATCGGATACAGAATCTACAGGATCTCAAGATTTGACTATTTAGAATATCTATTTCAAACGTGATCGTCCGATGGTAGCTTCTTGATACCACTTTTGTAATTTGAAACGTTCCCTTGTGAGATCAACTGTTACTATATAAACATGAGATACTAATTTATACTTACTCGGCATCGTCAAAGGTTTCGGTCATGGCTAGGAAGACGCAGTTAAGAAGGATAGTAGCCATGACCACGTAATCGAAGTACTGATTCGTACTTAGGAAGATACAGCACCGCCGTATAGGATTCCATGGGGAGAATATAAACCAACTGTTGGTCGCCGTAAACCTATGAATGTAATTTTTGCGAAACCTCTTGGATACCACGCAGAACGTCTGAAACATAAGAATAAATAAGATCTTATCGATGGGTTTAAAAATTTGAATCCACAGGGATGGAGATCTAAAATTATATTCCTATACTGCAGCAATAATGAGACTTTTTGTTGCTCTATATTTTTTGAAAAAGTTTCCGGTTGCTGCCAAAAGTTTCTTGATATTTCTTTGTTTTTGTTGTCAACAATAAAAATTGTTCTTTGTCATGTGTATCCAATTAATATGTATCCAATTAAATTTATATCAAAGGAAAATGAGAAGGCGTCAACAAGTCGCAATAAAAATTTCTTCAATCTGAACATTCACTTGCTAATATCTCAGTAAACGTATATAACAGTTTCTATAAATTAAAAAATATCTAATATTGAGTCATTTAAAAAGTATCCGCGGTTTTTTCATTCAAAAATTGAACAAAAAACCGCGGATATTTTTTAAATGACTTAATAAGAAAAAACATAGAAATAATGATTTTTAAGAAATTAATTGAAGAAATAGATATTTAGAGACTTTTTCCAATAAACAATATAAATACAAAAACTTAAAAGAAAATTTTGGAGAAGTTTTCAAGGTTGTTGAAGCAGATATAACAGAAGTCAAGTTAATCCGCCAAGAAAGAAAACTAATCCATCAAGAAACAATTTTTAAGATAATTTTTTATTGAATACCATAATGTCTTGTTACAATCAGATCTAACTCGTTTTTATATTAAATAAAAATCATATTTATTCAAAAACAGTTCCTTCAGTGTACTTAAATAGACTTTTTAGTAAAAGTTTCTTCCTCATTTGTAATAAAAATTTCCGATCATGTTTTAACGTTACACATTCTTTAATTTGACAAAAATAGTTGATTTATGGAGCGTTTCACGTTGCATTTCATGCATTCTTTTATTTTATATATATTAAATAAATTGATGTTTACTAAATAATAAAAATTCTTAAAGTTGTATTTGCTAGAATTTTTTCGTTGTTATTGTTTAATAACTCCATGATTAGATTTTAATTCATCAAAAAAAAGATTATTTTACGTTCATATAAAAAATATTTTATAAATATATAAATATATTTTATAAATATATTTTATAAATATATATTTTGTAAATAATTATCTTTTTTGATACATCTTCTATTTAAATATCGCTAATTTCATTTTTTTTAAATAAAAACCCACACACAGGTGAATTTTTTTAGCACTTTGAAGCTGTCTAACGAACAACTGTATCATTAAAATTAAATTCTGTTATGGAATGCATAATTAACCTCATATTTTATCTATGTTCAACGCAACGAGATGCAAAACAACGATTCATTCGTTGAACGTGATGCTTAAGCAACGTGCTAAAACAGCGCAGACTCCAAAAGCGGCAGTGGGTCAACGCGTAATTATTAATAAGCCGCTTCAGCATTCAGATAACCGACGGCGGGATATCTACCAATTCAGAGAATGGGTTCGTGGGATGGTTTTAAAACCAGTGACAAGATTCCCGATTATTTTCTGTACAAAAATGTTGATTTGTTAATCGTTTCCTCGATGAAACATAAATCTGAGGACGCTTCTGTATCGATGCATTTCTATTTCAGACACGAAATAAACAAATTTATTAAATGAATTTTTATATGATCTATATCTCCATGTACACTGAAAAAATGATATGTCATATCAACAGCATTATTTTAATTGAAAATATTAATTCATAATACTATTAATAAAGTAAATAGGTAATATTCTTATATCAAATATTTTATTTGTTTTATTAACACTGTTGTTGTAAATATAAATTAACAAGAGTATTTTTAATTAAAATAATACTGTTAATAATACCATTTTTTAAAATGTATATTTGATTTTTAATTTCAAAATTAAAATATTGATTTAATATTTTCGATCGAAAACACATTTAAGGATTTTTTCGTGAACTCTTTCGATCCTGTAGTTATATCAGTCTTAGCAATACTCACATCACTAGCTAATTCAAATAAATCAATATACAGGATGTTTATTGACTATAATTGATCAAAAATTACATCAATAGTATTTGATTTTTTTAAATATATTTGTATACATATTTTCTATAGGATGGAATCTTATTCTAAAGAGTGAAAATTGAGCCAGTCTTTAAAAAAAGTGACTATTTTCAATTTCAAAGAGATTTTATTCTTTAGTGAGATGAAAATTTAGAGAGTATAAACTAGGATATGTGTAATCTGAAAATTTTTTGTAATTTAAGAATTTCTATGTATTATCTCATTACTTATTTATTTCATAATATTATCATTGGGCATCGTTTATTTTCGGTAATACAAATAATAATCAAGTATTATTAAATAATAAGATTTAGATGACTGCGCGATACGCATTTAGGACTAAATTCCGTAACAGTAAGCGTAAGATGTAAACTTAAGTCGATAAGCCAATCAGGATATTGCTTTAAATCTACGTAATCTGATAGAAATAGAAATAGAAATAGCATATAAACTTAAGTTGAAATTTGTCTTACAGTATACGCAATATCGACTGTCGGAGATATGTCTGTCCTCTTAATAAAAGCACAAAAACTTGTTTTTATATTCTAAATTAGAATCGATCCTCATATTGTTCGCAAATTCTCGTATTGTTTGCTAAAAAAAATACTTTCAGTCTGAAATATCATTTCAACAACAACCGTTAATTATAAATTACAAATTTGTTATTTTTATTTGTGTCCACGACAAAGTCATTCCCTCTTTTCACAATCTTTTTTCGTTAGAATTCTGTTAAATGTCAACAAGTTTAGTAGTGAACTAATTGAGGATAAAGACGGGATACAAGAGACAGTAATATGCAAATGTTAACAGTTATAAACTTTTTAGCAATTTGTTATAGTGATGTATGCTATAGTGATTGTACTTTGGACAAAGATGTTTCAGTGTTCATATAATTACTGTTCGTAATACAGATCTTTTACAATATCTTTATTTCATATATCTTTTTTTTTTGCATAATTTCAATGAATTCTTAATTTCGTATAGTTCTAAATTGAAGTTAAATATCGTGTCGCGAGTGCAAGTGTGTTTGTGTGGAGTGACGAAATTCTCTGACAAGAATTGATAAAGCAAAATAAAGCGTGAATTAATGTCGAATACTTATAATGTTGTGTGATCGTTTCTATCAATATGTTTTGGAGAGCCTTGAGAATTCAATGTAACGAACAATTAATATAAAAGTTTTTAATTATTTATGGTGATATATATGTATATATATGTACTCTATAAATTCGTACTCTCTAAATTCTTTAAAATTTTCATGAAATAGAATTTTACTCTAAAGAGTGAAAATTAAATCAATCTTGATAAAAAGTAGCTCAATTTTCAATCATCAAGAGTAAGAGTGAGAGACTTCACTCCAGAGTGAGATTTACACTGTAAAAGTATTAAAGAGTAGACTTGAGATAATATCGATTATACAAGATGTATCATGGCATGTAATATGCAAAATCAATGCAGTTTATTTTTATTCAAAATTAGAGTCAATTTTCAAAATTATTTGGAATTGCTTGTTGCGTTGATGTGAAGAGAATACTTTTAGTCCAAAATATTATTTATGTAACAATTGTCAATTATATTTCTGTCATAATCTATCTGTATTGTTTATTCACAGAACAAAGTCAAAGTTTCTCAGGATTACTTGTCAATCTCTCTCAATTTGATTTATTAGTCGTTTTTTAATACGTTTGCAAGTTTGATCAGTAAACAAGTTTAAATAATTCAAAATTAACAAACGAAAAATTAAAATGTTGATGACAATTCTGAGTTTTCTTATGCTATTTAGTATACTTATGCAAATAGTGCTGTGGAATTCTATCTTAACTTTTCATTTTTCATGTTACGTACAATTAGTGTTCTTATTCATAATTCTCATTTTATTTGCTTTGCATCAAATTTAGAAAAATATGACGAAGATTAACGCAATATATCATTTTAAACGTGATATATTATTTTAAGTTACTTCAAATTATTACTATTCTTTTAATATGAAAGCAGTTTCAATTTCGTATACATAGCTTTAAAATTAAATTCATGATGCACGCAATGTGTAACACAATTACACATTTTCTTTTTACCTTTTCCTTAAAATGGAGTATATCCATTTAACGTCGCTCAAATATTGAAATATTGAATATCGCGTCGTAAATGTGTGCGCGAGCGAAGATTTTAATGAGAATTGATGGATCAAAATGAAGTATTACACGAACTTCTGACTTTTTTTTGCATTTCTATCAATGGACTTCAAAGAGCATCGAGAGAGAAAATTCAGCATGTAGGTGGTAATGTATAACTATGATATGAACATTTGAAATTATTTAATAATGTATGTGTGATATTATGGTATCTATATATATATCAGTAAATTGCACATTGCAAATATATAATAAATATATAATAAAATTGTTAAATCATTAAATTGGCGATTGTATATTTTACCTTCGCCTCCTATATTTTTTAAATTTTATTACAAATTTAATCGATACTTAAATACGTAGTAAAGAAATCCATGAAAATAAACACGCAAATTGCGCGACCATATGTAAAAATTTTCTGAAAAACGATAGACAAGGCTGTTCTTTGTTGATGCATTGAACTGTACTAAAACTTTCTGTCTCCCTTTTATCAAACTTTAAAAATATCTATTTTATTTTAAGTACGAGTATACATACACTACAAAAAACAGACCTACAAGCTCAAAAAGTATTTGTACAGGGAGATATGTTTAATATATAAATCTTATCTTAAAAAAACTTATTTTTAGAAAATAAATATTAATTAGTAATTTTCTAAGATCATGAACTGCACAATTACTTTGAAGCTCTTTAGTTTATATTTATATTAGAACAGAACGTATTTATTGTAAATAAATCAATATTTATTTTAACTAATTGATGCTTATTTCTACAAATAAAACTTTTTTAATAAAAAATCTCCCCTGTGTGTATGAATATTTTTTGCATACAGTTACGTATATAG